CTACAGAAAAGGATTGGATCATACGTAGGGTTTAGGGTTTAGGGTTTAATCCCAAAACTCCGAACCCTGGAGCCCCAAAACCTTCAGGGTTTAGGGCTCAATGCTTACCTTAAGGACCCAAAACCCACTTTTTCGTAGGTTCTTATTATAAACCCTACTATGGGATTTATAGGGACCCTACAAAAAAAGTAGGTTTTGGGTCCTTAAGATAGTTCTTAAACCCATTAAAACTCCGAACCCTGGAGCCCAAAACCTTCAGGGTTTAGGGTTCATGCAATGCTTAGGGCCCTAAACCCTAAACCCTAAACCCTAAACCCCTAAACTTGGCTTCTACTGCAGGGTGGCTGAGGGTTTTGGGGTTCAGGTCCGTTGAGGGTTCCCAGCAACTCCTCGAATCCGTCTGCTTCGGGGTTTAGGGGTGTTGGGGTTTAGGGTGTTGGGGTTTAGGGTTTAGGGTTTAGGTTTAGGGTTTAGGGTTTAGGGTTTAGGGTTTAGGGTTTAGGGTTGAGGGTTTAGGGTTTGGGGTGTTGGGATATGCGTGGTTGGGGCTACGTAGGGTGGTTAAGGCTTGAGGGCCGAAACCGAAAGCATAGACTCCCAAACCCTAGAAGCCGTAGACACTCAACTCAAAAAGCCCTGAAACCCTAAAGCCCGAAAACCTGAACCCCAACTCTAAAGCTTATGCCTTGCACAGAAATGCGAAACCTTGAACCGTGACCTACCCGAAGCGTACGAACACCGAAGCCCCCTTGAGGTCGCAGCGATACCCCACATCAGCAGCTGCCTCCGTCCATACCTGAAACGCAGAATTCGGGTCTTGAGGTTGAGGCCTTGGGATTTAGGGCATATGGTTTGGGCTTAAAATGTGGGATGTAGGGTTTAGGGCCTGGGTTTAGGATATTCAGGCTTATAGGCTTGGGCTTGAGAGTCGTGGTACTTGGGCTTGAGGGTTTGCGGTTTTGCGGATTCTGCAGTTTCGGCTTGTACGGTTCAGGGTCGATGTCGCTAGTAAGCCCTTAATCGGTCAAAGTGCCCCAGAATCGCAACATTTCTTGTCTGAGCCTTTTGCAGAAGCATTAAGTTTGACTTGTCGTAGGATTTGTTGTTCTGATCTGTAGTGCGGGCTGTTCGGGAAGTGATAAGAGTACAAGGAGTCTTTGAGCATGTCCCTTTGCCAAGCTCACCTCTTAGATGCCCTCGACGTCGTGTTGATCCATCGTTAAGGAGTTCAGATGTGGAATATAAAGATACAGTAGTTATCCAAAGTTATGCGAGGCAGCGGAGAATACCCAAAGTTATCCAGATCATCTGGTTCCGGATTAAGGGCACGGCATCGGATCTCAGGTTGTGTTGTGCAGGTTAAGACCGGGTTCTATGTCAAACATTCCGCTGCTGTCAGAAGATATCCCAAAACCCTAAACCCTAAACCCTAAATCTGTTTTGCCCATGGAAGACCGAGAGGCAAGTCAACACGCCAGACAGTGAAGAGCGTCGCCAGCAGCTTCACGAAGCCTACCGCCGCTTTGGGTGAACTCACAATTTCGACGAGCCCCAAGCCGGATGTCTACTTGGAGGATGCGGGGAATCTGAGTGGCATCCTCAATTCTACGTGTAGTTCTGTGAATACAGGCACAACTACACAAGGCGACTCAGGATGACCCCTGGTCTACCCAGCAAACCCTACCTGAAGCTGCTGCAATTTGTAGTGAATTTCGAAGTCGTGATCGGAGCCCGATCATGCATTAGGGCCTCCATGAAAGGGTCTTGGGGGCTCAACCGTAAAAAAATATGTTTTACAGGTTGAAGGGCTCGGGGGTTTCGCTGTAGAGTATGAGGGTTTCTGAAGCATACGTCAAGGGACTTAAGGAGGGACCCTTAAAGGGACCCTTGGGGGCATTATGAGACTACATAAAGGGTATATAAGGGTTATATATAGGGTATTTGGATTAGGGGTCTCTTCTAAGGGTCCCTCCTATCGTCCCTCAAATACTCACATCCGGCACTCGGTTCAAGGTGTTGCAGCTCCAAGAGTTCTCAGGCCTCGGAAACCCCTAAAGGTGGGGTTTAGGGTACACCCTACACCCTACACCCTGAACCCTAAACCCCAAACCCTAAACCCTAAACCTTAAACCCTAAACCCCAAACGCCTAACCCCTAAACCCCTAAACCCTAAACCCTAAACCTAGTAGCTTCAAGCCTCCCTAATGTAGGGGCCTTAATAATTAGAGTAGGGTTTTGGGGTATATTATACTAGAATTACAATAAGGAACCCTACAATAGTGACTAGTATTGGTAATTATGTAGGCCCCTACATTTACCCACAACCATCAACAGTTTAGGGCCTGCAGAGGAC